AGGCGAGGAAAGAGGAGATCGCTGGCATACGCTCGAGATTGTTCATGGTAAATTCGCGAGGAAAGCGAGATTCCCGTTAAACGAACACCCCTTGGGTTGTAAAATTGAATATTCTACGGATGACTGTAATTTGGGATAATTTAAGCGAGCCATGAGTCACTTTGCCGTTTAAAAATTGTCAATTTTTCCGATTCAATTTTTATATGGTAAAGCGACCCTTGGAACACCCGGTAGATTTAGCGTAGCATATTATCAGCAACAAATAATTGCAATTTAATTTAAAAAGAGTCCACAGAGTGACTGATAAGTAACTTTACCATTGAAAAATGTTCAATTTTCCTAATCTAATTTTTACCTGGTAAAGAAACTTACAGACCACCCAGTAGATCTAGCAAACCTGAAAAGTAGATCTAGAAAACCTCCCAGAAAAGAAACCGAAGCACTCGCATTCTCACCAAGGATAGACAACAATTTTCAATTTTTCCAGTTGAATTTGGTAAACCAACTTACAGATCACCCGGTAGATGTAGCAAACCCAAAAACCTTCGATCAAAGGAACCGGAGCGCTCGTATCCACACGAACGATCGACGAACAATCGCGAAACGCGCTACGAAGAATTTGGTAAAGAAACTTACAGATCACCCGGTAGATCTAGCAAACCTGAAAACCTTCCAGAAAATAAACTAAAGCACTCGCATTCTCACGAGCGATAGACAAAAATTTTCAATTTTTCCAATTCAATTTGGTAAACCAACTTACAGATCACCCGGTAGATGTAGCAAACCCAAAAACCTTCGATCAAAGGAACCGGAGCGCTCGTATCCACACGAACGATCGACGAACAATCGCGAAACGCGCTACGAAGAATTGTAAGAAGAAGAAACGACGAGCGACCTAATAATAATCGCGACGTGAAACACGGGTGCAAAGGAAGAAAGTGTTGCCGTGAAACGCGTACACGGTTCCTTTGAAAATCCCAGCTCCATCCACCGGTAGAAAGAAGATCAAAGGAGGCTGGTTCGTCTGTTCTAACGGAAGCTCGATTTCTGTTGCAGGGCAAACAGGGTATGATGAAGGAGTTGTATCAGCAGGCTGTGGCCGGAAGCGAGCGCGTGACGAAGATCAATGCCGCAGAGGAGATCCAACACTCGACCCACGCTCGTTCGATCAAAGAACGATTCGAACGTGGCGAGCCTATCGCCGCGTCCGACGACGAGACGGACAGCAAACCGAAACCGGAGAAGGCAGACGAGGAAGTGATCGCAGCAGGTGCATTTCACCGTACCGAAATATATATATTTAGAAGCCCGTTAAATGTAATTAGCCCGTATAATGGATAGCGTTGCTGGCGGCTAACACGTCCTCCTCTCTTTGCTACCATGTGCTGTGCACACCGAGAGATCTTAAGATAGATATTGTGTAGCTGTTTTACATTAGACGGGTTGTTTGCTCTTGCAAGAATGTGTATAGTTCGAAGGAGAGCGGAGAGCGAATTTGGTATCGACGGAGAGGTTAGATCTTTG